AAAGCCCTTTGTAAAAGTTCATAAAATAAAAAAAAGAAACCACCTCTCGTTTGTGAAGATATTTAAATTATTAATTATTCCAAAAAATCAAGTTCTAAACGTGCCCCAGCAGACAGACATAATTCTGTTTGCAAGGAAGGGTAGATTTAGATTGGAATTTAGCAAGCAATTCTTTCTTGTGAGGGTGGTGAGGCTCTGGCACTGAGGCTGCCCAGAGAAGCTCTGGCTGCCCCATCTCCAGGAATGTCCACAGCCAGGTTGGGTGGCACTTGGAGCAACCTGTGAGAGTGGGAGGTGTCCCTGCCCATGGCAGAGGGTTGGAACTGGATGATCTTGAAGTCCTTTCCTACTCAAACCATCCTATTATCCCATTCAATATTGTTCATCCATGAATAAGGGAGAACTGTGGAGAATGGCTCAGTTCCCACCCCAACTTCATCTTAGTGTAGCCTAAGAAAAGTCTGCGAAACTCCATGAAGTTACAAAAATGGGCTTTGGAAAAGCACTTCCATCCACTTGTTGGGAAAAGCAGCTGAATTGTCTCCCAGATCAGCCCAGGAGGTTGGACCACAAACTCCAGAGCTGCCTTCCAACCCCGTGTGTAATTCCAGATCCGGATCCATACTGGGAGGCAACTTTTATTTTATTTTTAAAATAAAAATATTTATATAACTTTTTTTTATTTCTGCATTACCCCAGAGACACTTTCACTAGTTGCTGTCACATCCAGCCGGAACTCTTTCCAAACATCAAGAGTTTCCATTCTCCCTTGGATGCCTGTGCTGGGTCCAAGTCCTTCCCAATTTGTTTGCAAAGGGGATGGTGGAGTTGCCATAGGGAGCAGGGATTTGCAAATTCATAACCATGGCCTGGTGACACAGCCTTGCCCTTGAGGGCCTGAGTCACATTGGCACAGCCTTGAAGTCAAAGATAATCTCCTTATATAACCACGGGAATCCTCCTCGGAGTGAAGGAAGCCATCCAGATTTGTTCTTAAAATCAGTTTTGAGGAGAACATTCTGGATCTTATGAGCACGCATTTCTGCTTCCTGGTCTCGGCACACGCACAGCTCTGCTTGCAAACTGGGGTGCTCACTCTGGTGTACAACTATCCAGGTTGGGTTGTTTCTTATTCCAGGAAAGTGAGGTGGCACTGCATGGATGGGCTGGGAGAGCTGGGGGTGTTTGTCACTGTTGGTCACAAAGTGAGTCACACAGATGCAGCTTGAGGTGCGGTGAAAGAAAAAGAGCTTTGTTTTATTTTCTCAGTATTTATAAGTTTCTGACCATGGCCAGGGATTGGATAGTCAGGTTAACATCTTTCCAAATGTACTGGCCATGAGAGATGTCCATCAAAAGATGGGCATCAGAAAGAATGTATACATATCTATGTTTACAGCCACTGTCCTGGGAAAGTTTTTAGAAACTATGTCCACAAGATCAAAAAACTGAGTTTTCAGGGTGACAGGTGTTCACCTAGACAAGAGAAGATTCCAGGGAGACCTTAGAGCTCCTTCTGGTGCCTAAATGGGCTTCAAGAGAGCTGGACAGGGACTTTGGACATCCTCCCTGGATGGAGGGACAGGACACAGGGAATGGCATCCCACTGCCAGAGGGCAGAGATAGATGGGATGTTGGGAAGGAATTCTTCCCTGTGGGGGTGGCACAGGTTTCCCAGAGAAGCTGTGGCTGCCCCTGGATCCCTGGATCCAAGGCCGGGTTGGACAGGGCTTGGAGCAACCTGGGATAGTGGAGGGTGTCCCTGTCCCAGCGAATTAGAGGGATTAACTTCCAGATGGAACAGCTCAAGCGCTGTTGAAATTCAGACTTCACATTTTCAGGAGCAGCAGCAAAGGGCTTTTTTGTGCAGGGACATAAAAGAAAACCTCAGTGCCTCCTCCTCAGGATATCACTGAAGGGTTCTGCAATCCCAGCAGGAAGTCACAACTGCCTTGGCCTCTTGGAACACCTCCTCCAAGGAAAAATTAGCAAACACACTGGACTGATTCCATTCTGCGAGGATTGGAAGGATGACACACATCCCTATTTTTCAGAGGCAGCAGTGAAACATTCTGTCAGGGCTGTCTGCTGATTCCCAGATTCCTGAGCTATATCCTGCAGTCACCAAGATGGATTTTACCAGGAGGGCTTCCAAGAGGGAATTCACCTGCTTTTGCCTCTGGGGACAAGGAAAAAACAAAATATAGTCAGAGAAATATTGTAGGGAGATTAGCTCTGTGTACAGCAAGGTTGTGTTTATCCAGAGTCCTGCCTTAATCCTGCTGCTCCCAAGGGAATCTGTTTAGACAGATCCAGGCCCTTGGGAAGGTCTCTCAGGCTGGGAGCTGAAGCAACAAACCAGGGCCAGGTTGTTCTACAAAGATTCATGCCTGAGCTGAGCTAGGAGGAAATCACAGATCACTTTATTAATTCTCCTTAACAAAAATTTAGGTGGCAACTCGTCCCAGCTCCATACAAGAGTCAGGAAGGTGTGGGGTGGATGTCTGCTCCAAAGCCAGTGTCCACTGACCAAGCAAAGCCCTGCCTGATTTCCTCAGACAGATTTTGGACAAGTTATCTATCTCTCCCTGAAGTTCTCCTTGCCTTTTGTCTGAAACATGAACCCTTGTCCTCTCCCAGTGTTTAAAAAAATGTCTAGAAAAGACTGAGCAAAACTCTTCCAAAGATCCACCAAGACAGGAGAAGAGGCAAAAAGGGTTGGGAGAGCTTGGGAGACAAAAAAGGAGCAAAAGACTCATTCCTAAACAAATGCAGAGAAACCTTCAGAGAGAGCTTTCAGCAGCCCCCAGGAATGAGGAGGATCAGAAAAAACAGATGGACCTGGAGGTCAACTGGATGGGGAGGAAATTAACTTTCAGCAAAAATGAACCAAAAAAAAAATCCTTCTGTGGTTATTGGGGGAAATAAATAATCAGAGACATTTCCAGAAGCAGGAAATTGAGGACAGTTTCACACCAGGTGAAAAGTATATATTAATATATTAATTTTTATACCAGAAAAGATACAAATCACAGAGAGGTTCAGGTTGATGTTTAACCACAAGCTCCGCTTCCGTCCAGGGGGAGTGACTCCAAAGCCTCACCCACACAGATTTTCTGCCTTTCAGACCAGATCTCCCCCCCTCAGCCATGATCTCTGCGGGGAACAGCCGGAATGTGGGAAACACGCTGCCAAACTGGCCAGACATCAAAGGGGTGAAGCATCCGTGGCCAATAAAGGGAGGGGAAGATCAGCTCCTCCTCACGTAGCTTCTCCAAGCAACGATGGCTACGGAGCCGCTCCAGTTCAGCCACCTGAGAGCAATCAGCCATGTCTGATGATTCTTGGAGGGTGGGGACCTCAAAAAATTCTCAGTCGTTCAGGAGTCGTAAATGGTAGGGCTGAAGGAACAATTTCATTGCTTACCCCAAATGAAATTGTGGGACAATGTTGGGACTTCCCGGTTTTCTCCCAGGTGGCACCTCTTGCGTCAACCCACTTGGCTCCAGGATCTGTGACTTGAGCAGAGCTGGAGAAATCCCCATCAAGGAGCTTTCAGAGTTTCATGGAATCATGGAATGGTTTGGGTTGAAAGGGACCTTCAAGATTATCTCATTCCAACCCCAGCCATGGGCAGGGACTCCTTCCACTATCCCAGGTTGCTCCAAGCCCCTCCAACCTGGCCTGGAACACTTCCAGAGATGGGTCAGCCACAGCTTCTCTGGGCAACCTGCGCCAGGGCTTCATCATCCTTGCAGGGAAGAATTTCTTCCCAGTGTATGTTCCTTGTGGAATGTCTGGAAATGACGGTGTTTGTGTTCCAGTGATCGCAGTGGGATCACGATTCACAGGGAGCTCAGGCTGGAAAGGCAACCTCAGGATGTTCCTGATCCAAGTTCCTGGTCCAAGCTCCCGATTTTGAGGTCAGCCCAGGTTTCTCAGGACTTCATCCAAGCTTCCATGAAAGCTTCCCAAGGATGGGAATTGTACCACCTCTCCTGGAGACCACAAGTGCCCCATGGAAGAGTTTATATCACGTTTGGGTTGATTATCAGAAATATCAGGATTGAAGGAGGATATTTTTGCTGGACCTTGGAAAGGGAATTATGGGAAAATGCAGAACCAGAATGGGAAGGAACAAAATGTAGGAGACTGGAGAAACACACCAGGAATTGCAGATGATGCACTGGAGGATTACAGCAAGGGGGAAGAGTCATCCTCACTGATCTCCAAATTCAGGGAAAATTCAATATTCCCAGTAAAGATAGATTTGTACAAGGGGAGTTGATGGAAGAAATGTTGGTGGAAAGTCACTTCCAGTGAGGGATAATGGAAAATGTCTCATCCATCTGCTGTGTGACTGACCCCAAAACCCAGCTCTGTTAACTGTTAAACAATAATGAAAGATGGAGTATGGATATTAAAAAAAATGAAAATTAAATGTGATTACAATAGTTTTAGCACAAGATTATTTTTATTCTTCTCAAAAGGGTACAGAGAACATAAGATTTTAACCTCCCCAGAACAGATGATTGGCATGGGAAGTTCAGTCTCCTGCCTCATATTTTGGACACAGAAATGTCTCCTTAATTTTTTTGGGTACAAAGAAGGAGATCTAGGAAGAACAGCAGAAAATGATGGGTTGGAGAGGATCTGCTCTAAGGCGGTAGGGAAGGCTCTTCTCAAGATTTTTTGCCTTAAATATACTTCACGCGTTTGAATTTTTTACTTCAAACCCAACCAGACCAGCACAACGAAGAAACTCCACATTCAATTTTGTGGGAGTTGTTGAAAGATCAGTTAAAAAATTCAGTTGTGCCTTCCTGAGTTTTGCATCTCTCTTAGCTGTGGGAGAAGTGTGGAAATAAAAAAAAAAAAAAAAAGCAATCATTTTTGGGAGCTGTTGAGTGTTGTTCATGAGGCATCTACATAGAAAGCTGGGCTGGTGGGGGGTTATTTTCTTCATGGAATTTTCAGAATAAATGACTCCCATCATCCCCTCACAGTCTAGTCCAGAAAAAGGCACAGAGGGAACTTGCCAGGATCCCAACCGGCACAATGCTGATCCTCAAACTTGCTGCGCCATCGAAGTTGCACAGGTCAGAGTAACAGCAGGTGACAGGATGTGTCATACCGATGCCATCCAGGTCGGAGGGGACGCAGGAGGAGGAGCACATCTTGGTGACAACTGAGACTCCTGTGGGGGGATAAACTATGGCAAAGAAAAAAAAGCAGGAACGGTTAGGACTGGGGAAAACAGAGGTCAGCATCACCATTCTCTTTTGTCTTCTGATGACCAGGAGTTGGTGTCATAAAATTATAGAATGGTTTAAGTTGGAAAGGAACTTAGAGATCATCAAATTCCAACCTCTCTGCCATGGGACACTTTCCACTATCCCAAATCGCTCCAAGCCCTGTCCAACCTGGCCTTGGACACTTCCCAGGATGGGGCAGCCACAGCTTCTCTGGGAAACCTCTGCTAGGGCCTCCCCACCCTCCCAGAGAAGAGTATCTTCCTTATATCAAATATAAACTCACCCCCTTTAGGTTTAAAGCCGTTGCCTGTTTTCCTATCACCACATGACCTTGCAAAAAGTTAAAATCTTATTTCTGAGCATTAATAACCAGGAGCTTGCATTCACCAAATATTTCCTCACACAAACAGAGCTTCCCACAACAGCAGGAGAGCTGGAGATTCCATGGGAGTTCTTTTCCATCTTTAAGTGGAGAGAGGAACCGGTCTCCACACCAGCACTGTCGAAACACTGATTCCTGTTAAAAGCATGGATAAAGAAGGAATTGTCCTTACCATCCTCCTCAGAATACATCGTGGTCTTGCATATGAACTCAGACCCTGTGCAGTTCTCAATTGTCAGGCACTTCTCAACTGGGGTCAAATCCCTGCACGTGTAACACTGCAAGGAATGTCCTGTGAGGAGGGAAAACAGGAGGAGGGAAAACATGAGGATGGCCCCAGTGTGGGTTCTGTCTGTGCCCCTCCAGGTATCTCTCAGGAGGGATTTTCAAAAATAATCATGCGGAGAATGGGAATGGAATACTAGAAGGTGTTTGGAGTGATGGGAATGAGAAACATGAAAGTCTGGTGATCAGAGCACAGCCTCAGGTCAGGTTCAGACCCCTTGTGATGAGTCAAACAAGACAGAGCCATAAGCACAGGAGACCCCGTGACACAGGAAAGCGCTTGAGCTGATTTATTTCTCTGTTTTCTGGATCTACCTCTCTCCTTGACTTGAGCAGAGTGTCAGAAAGAGATCCCAGACTCCCAGAATCTCAGAATGGGGGAGGTTGGAAGGGGCCTCTGGAGCTCCACCAGTCCAATTCCTGCCCTCAAGCAGGACCAGCCTCTTGTCCAGGTGTGGTTTTAGTGTCTCCAAGGATGGAGATTCCACAACTTCCCTGGGAAAGCTCTGCCACTGCTCAGTCAACTTCTCAGTCATAAGGTGTTTCCTGATGTTTCCTGCATTTCAGTTTGTGTCCTTTGCCTGGTCCTGGCACTGGGAATCACTGAAATTAGTCTGGCTCTCTCCTCCTTGCTCTCTCCCTTCAGGAATTCACAGACATTTATACAATTCCCAATCTAAACCTTCTCTTCTCCAGCCTGAGAAGTCTTTTCCTCAGAAGAGAGATGTCCACCCAGCCCATGCCTCAACTGCTTGTCCATGAGGATCTTGGAACATGTTTCCTAAAGAGATTTTGGACCCCCCCATCCCTGGAAGTGTCCAAGGCCAGGTTGGACAGGGCTTGGAGCAACCTGGGGTAGTGGAAGGTGTCCCTGCCCTGCCCATGGCAGGGGGTGGAACTGGATGGTCTGTAGGTCCCTTCCAACCCAAACCATTCCCTGATTCCATGATCTGATAGGAAAGAGCATCAAAGTCCTTCCTGAAGTCCAGTTAGAAAATATCCACAGCTCATCCCTTGTCTACTGTGTCAGTCACTTTATCACAGAAATTTGTCAACTTGGTCAGGTTTGTCCCCTTGGTGAAGGATCTGGATACACACATCAAAAAGTCGGACCTGGGCATGAGTTGCAGCACTGAGAATTTCCTCTGCTGACACCCACTCTGCCAGCTCTTCCCAAAGGCTGGGAGGATGTCCCAGACAGGAGGAATTTGTCTCCATCAAATTCACTGAAGCCACGAGAACAAACTGAGCACAACACTCCCCCTTGTCCTGAGATTCTGGGATTTTGAGAAGAATGTTATTTTAAATCATGGAACAGTTTGGGTTGGAAAGGACCTTAAAATCTTCCAGTTCCAGACCCCTGTCATGGGCAGGGACACTTTCCACTATCCCAGGCTGCTCCAAACCCTGTCCAACCTGGCCTTGGACACTTCCAGGGATGGGGCAGCCACAGCTTCTCTGGGAATTCCATTCCAGGGCCTCATTCCCCACACAGAGAAGAATTAAACCAGACAGCAGCACCAAGAATGGATTTCATGTGACAAGTTCTGCTCTAGGCAGAGACCACAGACACAATATTCGTTACTCAAGACTCCAAATCCGTCCTGAACCAGCTCCTCTTGCCTTGCCCCTCACTACTTCAGAGATGTTCCTCATTCCTGTAGAGCTGTAAAGCCCTTGAGAGCTGCAGGGGCTTCTCAGCTCATACAACCACAGAATAAGCACAGCCCAAATCTTTCAGTGACTAAAGTCTTCTGAGATGGAGAAACTGTGGAGAAAACCACTGAAGAACCCCCCAGATTTTTGTGACACAGAGCACTCTGAGATAAAGATATCAAATCAAAACAGTGCCAGGTGTTCCCTATCACCAAAAAAAAGCTGTTTTTCGACAAGTTTTTCAGGGAATTTTGCTCTCTGTGGGTTTTTTCTGAGGAATTCAACACGGGTCATCTCCTCTAGGTGCTTTCTTCCACCCCCCAGCAGACACCTCAAAGTGTGTGTTACAACCACACTGATGTATTTTGGTGCCATCACACCCCAGCAGTCCCTCTTTAGTCTGGGAAGTCCTTGTCACCCTGTCTGTGTGACAATCCTGATGAAATTATTGTAAACCTCACTAAAAAGGAGAAATTATTCAGCTCCTCCCAGCACAGCTCCAATGGGATGTCAGCAGGCTCAGGCAAACAAGTCACGGAGTGAAAATAGACTCCATCCTAATTAATGAACCAGAAAAATCCCTTTTTTAAACAAACACAGCAATTTTCCTGCTAAAGCAAACTTTATTCCCTTGCTTCGCCATCGTGACCTGATGCTTTGTTTGCACTAATTCCACATCTGACAGTCGGGAAAATCATCTTTAGGAGGAAGCATTGTTCTCAGTCTCACATTTCGTGATGCTGGACAAATGCAACCCACAGGATTTGTCTTCCTCTCTGAAAAGAAAACCAAACAAGCCACCACCTATTTCTCCCCTGCAGAGTCAGCTCAAGGAGCGAGGACCAAAAACGTCCCTGCATAAGAAGGAAATAAATAGGAGTTAAAAAATCCTGACACAGCTCAATAGACAGGCACAGATAAAATCAGACCGGGCACTGTTTGGATTTGAGGATATCCCGATAAACAGTCACAGATCCTGGACTGATCCTGATCGTGAATTACCTTGGACATCCAACAAAGCTTGGGATCATCAATTTTTGTCCAAGAAATTGGTGTGGTGGTAGAAACAAGGGAGAGAAAGGATGGAGGGAGGATCATGGAATCACGGAATGGAATCACAGAATGATTTGGGTTGGAAGGGACCTTTATGATCATGGAATTCCACCCCTTGCCATGGGCAGCACCACCTTCCACTGGACCAGGTTGCTCCAAGCCCTTGGACACTTCCAGGAATGAGCATCCACAACTTTTTGGGGTAACCTGTTCCAGTGCTTCTCTTTGAACTTTAAGGTCCCTCCTAACCCCAACCATTCCATGATGTTATGATAAACATCAACCCTGGAGTACCCGGACCACCAGCAGTGTCCCAACCCATCTTTCCCATTTCTAACAGCTAAAATTGGATAAATCCCACATGTAGCATTTTTTGGAGAGCTCCCACACACGCTGCATGGAACTGACATCCAGGGCTGAGTATCAAAAAAGGTACAGAAAGTTAAAAATAATGTTAGAAAAAAAAAAAAAAAAGATGGTGAGATTGAGCACGAACATGGAAAAAGTGAGAGTGGGAATTTGCATTAAAGGAATGACACGGTTTAATCACACTTTGCCTTGTGAAACTTCCTAAAGAGCCTGACCTGACAACCCCAATGACACCAGCACCATCCTGAAATATTCCAAAGACAGATTTTTCTTTTTTTTTTTCCCTGAAAACTGCCTAAAGTCTGAGACTTTCAGAGGGAGCAGGGCGCATCTTATTCCATCACACTGCATCTCCTGAAGGAGTCTGGATAAATCCAAGCAGGAACTCACCCAAATCCAGGCAAGTGACAGCAGCCAACAGAAGAGACAGAAACACCTTCATCTTGCACAGCCCTGGTTGTCTGGTCATTGGGTTGTCACCACTCTCCACCGATGCCACACGTCCTGGGACTTGGCATGCACTGATTCCGTCTCCAGATCCAAATCTACTAGAAAAACAAGTGTCATTGAGCTATAAATGAATTGTAGGAGCTCCAAAGCAGGCCCCACCTCTTCTACTCCGTCATCTCTTTTCATTTTCCTTGAAGAGGAAAATTTGTTTTCTCAGGGTGGACAATGGCTGGGATTGGTTAAGCTGGATGTGGAAGGCCCAGAGTGTGAAAGCATCCTGGTGTCCAGGTCTTGTCCTGCAGCTTGGGAATGTTTCCTCTCCTTTTTTGGAGTGGTTTCAAGAAATCCTGGGTAAAAAAGCCTAGGTGGGTGTGAGCATCAAGGAATTGAACCTCATGGATTTTTCTCCTCTGTGTTTTCACCTTCAGTGGGGTGCAGAGTTTATCAGGAGGAAGAGAAACATGGAATGATTTGGATTGGAAGGGATCATCTCATTCCAAACCCCCTCCATGAGCAGGGATACCTTTCACTACACCAGGCTTCTCCAAGCCTTGTCCAGCCTCGTCTAGAAGTGGAAATCAGACTTTTAATCCCTCACTCACTGGAAAAAGTGAAAAAACAGGACCAGGACCCGAAAGTTTGGGCCAAAGGAATCTCTCACGTTCATTATCCCAAGGAAGAATGGAACGGAGAAGCCCCTCTGCTCTGTGTGGTTGCAAGTTCACGACTTTTTTGCTTCCCAAACACTTTTTCCATTCCCAACCCTGCTGCCCCAGGCATCTGCTGGATTTTCCTGCACCTCAAGACAGCTCCGTGCTAGGAAATCCTCCTCCAACATGGGACGAGCAAGTCAAAGTCTGGAATTGCGAAAACTGGAAGAGCCTTTTGGTGGCTATGCCGGGCACCTTCCCAACACAGATTTTTACTAAGGAACGGGGAAAGCTGAATCCAAGATGGTGTTGGAGATATCCCCCCAACCTTTGCTATTCCAGCACTGAAGGAATTTTATTCAGGGTTATTCACCTGAATTCTTGGAATTAAAGAATCAGTAAGGTTAGGAAAGATGTCAGGACCATCACATTCAGAGTCAAACCAGCACCACCACCATTTTCTCCACTAAACCCTGTCCTCAAGTGCCACATCCACAGGTTTTTTGAGCACTTCCACAGCTGTGACTCCATCACTACCCTGGAGCATGTTCCAATGCCTGACAACCCTTTCTGCAAAGAAATTTTTCCCTAATATCCAATCTAAACTTTCCACGGTGTGATTAGAGGCCAATTTGTCTTGTCCTGCCTTGAAAGGTTAAAAGTTTTTCTAGGAATGCTGGATGAAAAATGCAGTCATCATCTCTCCAGATCTAAAGCTCCTGAATCATGGAATGGCTTGGGTTGGAAGGGGATTTAAAGACCATCCAGTTCCAACCTCCTGCCATGGACAGGGACAACTTCCACTATCCGAGGCTTCTCCAAACCCTGTCCAACCTGGCCTTGGATACTTCCAGGGATGGGGCAGCCACAGCTTCTCTCAAAATCCATTCCAGGGCCTCACCACCCTAACAGGGAAGAATTTATCCCTAATATTTAATCTAAAAGTGCTCTCAGCATTTCAGCAATTCCTGCTGCTTTACCAAACACCACTTCTGGGTGACTTCCATCCTCAGAAATTCCGACAGATTGTTTTCGCAGTTGCTTCTCTAATACAGTAATTATGTGGATTATGAGGGCTAAGCAGTTATTTCCAGCCCCAAAAATTACCTAGGGAAAGACATTTAGGTATATTCTAGGCCTGGCTTTCCTCATGTTCAGCAGAAAATGTCATAATCCTATTAAAAAGGCAAAATCCTCTGATGGTGTTTGCCTAGTTCGTAGGGGAAAAAAGAAAATAAAAGAGCCATGGATGGGGTGTGGCTTCTGGTTCCTGGTATTAAGTGGCCTCAAACAATGAATGTTAAATGATTGGTTTCACCTGCACAGCTGAAATGTGATCTCCCTCCCCTTAGAAAATCTTGGATGGAAGAATCTCCGCCACCACCCTGTTCTAAATCCTGCTCCCTCCTTCGCTCTGGAGGATGGTTTTGGGGGGATGTCAACACACCTTGTTTATGGTTTCAGTTGATCTTATCTGAGTCCTGAAATGTTTCCTCTTTTATGCACGCCCTGTGCTGCTGCTTTGCAGGCTGGCAACTCATCAAAAAAAAAAAAAAAAAAATAACAAGAACTACTGAGAACATTCAAATATTGTTCTGTTGAATTCATTTTGTTATTTAGTTAGAAACCACAACCTGTTCTATTGGGGGGGGTTCCCACTAATTAGAGAAAAAAATTAAAAAAAAAAAAATCTGCATAAATCTGCTTTGTCACAAGATGGATTTTAAATATTAAAAATATTTATATTTTTAAATATATATATATGTATACTTTATTTAATGTATCTGTTCAAAGGGAAATTAATACAACAATCCTCTCACTTCAGATTAGTTTGTTGTCATAAATAAAAGGAAAAGTTCAGCCAAATGTTTACTTCCAGTCTGGAAATCCTGTGTAAAACCCTGTCCTACCTCACCAGCTGAGGCAGTCTCAGGAGGGAAGCATCTTCATCAGACCTGCCTCACTTTCATCCAGCCTGGAAATCTCCAAATCCCACAGCCTCCCAGGCTGCCCAATTCCATTGCAAATCCTAAAATTCCCCATCTGCCTCCAGGGCAGAGTTTCAGGGACCAAGGGCTGCAGGCACTGAGAGCCTTCTTGTCTTAATTATTTTGAACTCTCCATATTCATTACTCTAATCAGCTCTTGGTGTATCTCCTATGAATCCCAAACTTCCAGAGCAAGCAGATGCAGGAGGGAAAGATGGGGTTGGATTTAAGGGTGGAGGGGTGCTGACATGACACTGTCATGGGCTGGTGTTAAGCTTTTGTTGGAAGAGGATTTAAAGATCATCCCATTCCAAACCTTTCCATGGGCAGGGACTTCTTCCACTATCCCAGGCTGCTCCAGACGCCATCCAGCCTGGCCTTGGTTACCTTCAGGGATGGGGAAGCCACAACAGCTCTAGGAATTCCATCCCAGCCCCTCACCGCCCTCACAGGGAAGGATTTCTTCCCAATATCCCATTTAACTGTACCTTATTCCTGTTTAAAGCCATTCCCTGTGTCCTGTCCCTCCACCCCTTTCCCAAAGTTCCTCTCCAGCTCTCCTGGAGCCCCTTGAGGCACTGGAAGAGGCTCTGAGGGCTCCCTGGAGCCTTCCCTTCTCCAGGCTGGACATTCCCAGCCCTCCCAGCCTGGCTCCGGAGCATCCAGCCCTTGGAGCATCTCCATGGCTTCCTCTGGACTCGCTCCAGCAGCTCCACGGGTCAGGGATGAGAGGCACTCACGGAAGCAGCAAGGATAGGTTACTCTGAGCACTGAACTGCTGCTGGGAAGATTCCAGGTGTTAAATCACCGTGAATTTCACCTCTGGGACATCACGGTCCCAACCTGGCATCACAGAAACCAAAATTCTCTGGAGCTGAGGGTCTTGTACCAGAAAGAGAGGAATTAAATGGGTATCTGTGCCCTTCTCCATCTCCTCCACTGATGAGGAATGTCTTTAAAGGTTAAAGAGAATGCTGGAAAAGCAAAGTGAAAAATAAAGGATGCCAAGCCTGATTCTAGCCTATCCCCATGAATAACGAGTCAGGAATCCAACCCTGCAGCTCTTTTAGAGCCATTTTCACTAAGGCACCACTCATTAGCTCATTAGTCACAGCAGCCTTATTCCTCCTAATTGATTTTACTATAATCCCCTACAATGCATGGCCAGGATCCAATGTGTCTCTGCCTGGCTTGAAAACCATTACACTGGCACTGCTTTGGAGACATTTCATCCCTCTCCCAAGCCTCTGGAGTGTGTAAAGGTCAGGAGATTCCCAAAACTGAGGTTATGGAAGGTGCCCTCAGGGAAAGGACATGTGTCCCCTTGGTGGGACAAGCCATAGGCTCAAAGGACCCAGCTGAGCAGAGCTGTGGCTCTCACACCTGGGAGCAGCTGGGTTTGACACAGATTGGAGCTGCAGATGGATGCAGGAAGTTTGGCAGCTCTCTCCACACTGGTTTTCACCTTGGCACTGAGCTGGGACAAAGGATCATGGAATGGTTTGGGTTGGATGGGACCTTCAAGATGATCTCATTCCAAGCCCCTCTCATGGGCAGTGACAACTTCCATTTGTCCCAGGTTAATCCAAGCCCTGTCCAACCTGGCCTTGAAGGGACGGGGCAGACACAGCTGCTTTAGGAATTCCAGGGCCTCACCACCCTCACAGCCAAGAATTCCTCCCCAATATCCCATCTATCCCTGCTCTCTGGCAGTGGGAAGCCATTCCCTGTGTCCTATCCCTCCATTCCTTATCCCACGTCCCTCTCCAGCTCTCTTGGAGCCCCTTCAGGCACTGGAAGGGGCTCTGAGGTCTCCCTGGAGCCTTCTGTTTTCCAGGCTGGACATTTCCAGCTCTCCCAGCCTGGCTCCAGAGCAGAGGGGCTCCAGCCCTTGGAGCATCTCCATGGCCTCCTCTGGACTCGCTCCAGCAGCTCCACGTCCTTGTGCTGAGGCCCTCTGAGCTGGATACAGAATCCAGGTGAGACCTAGAGGGAGTGGAGCAGAGGGAAGGAATCCCATCCCTGGACCTGCTGGTCACATTCTTTTTGATGCATCCCAGGGTTCTGTTGTTTCCTGGCTCAAACAGAGATCTGAGAGAATGTTATTAAAGCCAGAGCCAGGGCAGACAGGTCAGACCACCCCACAAAGGGCTCCTTAACTCTGCTGCTCATCCCAGATTGCCACCAGACCTCGCTGTGTCCCCCTCTCAGTCCCAGCCATGTGTTGTGAGCTGCTCCTTGGATGTTCCCCAGAACAAGAAGGCAGGAACAAGATGATTTATTTTTATAAGGAGTCCTGTTCCCTCCAGATAATCATTCACCTGCCTTTTTATTTTTTTTTCCAACCTGTTTTT